AGGAGGAGGGAGGAGGGGAGAGAGGAGGGAGGAGGAGGAGGAGGTCTGTGCCTGCACTTGCTTTCACCCGCCTCTCCCACTGCCACTCGTGTTCGCAGCGCTGCCCGGGCCCGGCCCGTGGCCTCGGGCCTGCGCTGCCAGTGCCGCGCCCGCGGGGAGGAGCTGTCCGCGACATCCTCGCCGGGCCCCCGCTGGACGGACGTCTGAAGGGGCCCCGGGACACACAAATAAATACATACAAATAAAAAATATTCTCCATATTTTCCTATATTTTCTGGGTTTCTGTCTTCCCCCCCACTTCCCATATTTTCCCGCATTTTCTGGGGAATCGAAGACTAATTGTGTCTGTGTGTTTCTTTTCCTCCTGAACGTCTTTATCACACCGGCGGCCTCTGGGGCTTGGAGCCGCTCGTGCATTCGGGGGCGACGCCTGCGCTTTCGGAGAAGGCTCGGGGGACTGCTTGGGAGGCGCGAGGGCTCTCGAGAAGCCCCCGCGGCCGCCTGAGGAGGCCTGCCCCCGCTCGCTTCCCCCGCTGGGCTCCCTGGAGGCCGAGCATGGCCGAAAACTTCCCGTCGTGATTCTGATCAAGCCTCGAGGGAGTCTTCGGGGGCGTCCAAGAGGGGAGTCCAAGAGGGGGGCGTCCAACAGGGGGGCTCGCAGAGCATGGCCCGTAGGATGTGCGCGGACGAAGGGGGAGTCAGAGAACGTCTTGAGAAACAGAAGGAAGGGCCACGTCGAGGAGACCTCATGGTCCAGGCCATGATATCCACGCCCTCTCCTTTGACTACCTACCAGACCACCCCCCAACCCAACCCGAAGACCCGAATCTCGCCCGAATTTCGGGTTGGAGGGGGTACGGGCCTCATGTGCGTGTGTGTGTGTGTCTGTCAATGTTCCCCGCCCACAACCCCCCCCCTCCACACTGGAAATGGAGGGCAAATCGGGGCCTTCGGGCTGGGCTGGGGTGGTTTGGTGGGCGGTGATCCTTCGCCCCCCACCCCTCCTCCTGCACGACCCTGAGGCCTGGGCGCACCCCGAAGGCCGCGCGCGGCACCGCCGAAGGCGCCGAGGCCGCCACGCGGCGGCGCCGCCGCCGCCGAGCCGAGCCGCTCCGGCCCGCCGCCGGGATGGAGGGAGGACGAGGGAGGGTGGGGGATGGAAAATGAACAGCAGGAGGAAGGAGGAGGAGGAGGAGGAGGAGGAGGAGGAGGAGGAGGAGGGGAGGAGGAGGGGGAGGAGGGGAGGAGGAGGAGGAGGAGGAGGAAGGAGGAGGATGAGGAGGAGGGAGGCGGAGGAGGAGGAGGAAGGAGGAGGAGGAGGAGGAGGAGGAGGAGGAGGAGGAGGAGAGGAGGAGGAGGAGGAGGAGGAGGAGGGGAAGGAGGGCCCACGAGAAAGGAGGAGGAGGCCGCCGCCGCGCCTCGCAGGCCTCGCCGGGCGCGGCGTCGAAGGTGCCCTGCAGCCGGAACTCGAAGCGTCGCTTGCGGCCTCCCGTGCAGCCGCCGGAGGCACGCTGCGCGCGGGCAGGCCCCTGGGCTGCACGGCGTGGGCCCCTTTCTCCTCCTCCTCCTCCTCCGCCTCCTCGTCGCCTCCTCCACCTCCTCCTCCGCCCCCGCCTCCTCCTCCTCCTCCTCCTCCTCCTCCTCCTCCTCCTCCACCTCCTCCTCCTCCTCCTCCTCGTCCCCCTCCCGAGGAGGGAGGGGGTCCAGGGTGCGGCGCTGAGGATGGTCCGATGCTTCGCCAGTTCGAGATCGAGGAGGAGGAGGGGGAGGAGGAGGAGGGGGAGGAGGAGGAGGAGGAGGAGGAGGAGGAGGAGGAGGAGGAGGAGGAGGAGGACTGGAGGACCCCGAGATCCTGGCGTCGCAGATTTGTTCGCAACGGGCGACTTTGCCTAAGTCCAGGCCCCGGGACGCTCACGGATCGATCTGGCGCGAAAAATGCCGCAGGGAGATAGTGTCCGGGGCTCCAGTGAAGCTTTTGTCATAGTATGCTGCATGTTGTTCGTGACGTCAGATCTCGGGGATTATCTGTGGGCGGGCATGGATTATCGGCGTCGTCGCCTCCGCTGCGCCGCCAGAAAACCCAGATCTCCGACGATCTTGTCGCTTCTGCCCCGGCCTTTCTTATCGACTTGGGCCATCGGGGGCATCTGTCCGCGCCTCTGGGCCAGCAGAAACGGATCTTGGAAGAAGAGCTGCGGAGAAGGAGCGGGTTCTCGGGTGCCGCCTGCTGAGAAAAACACACCGTCGGATGTCTGGGTATGAGTGCGCGGGCATGAGCTATCGTTTGGTCGGGCGTGTCCCCCTACGGGGGGATGTTCGACGAATCATAAAACATACTCGAAGCAAACACTCCAAAATAGACCAAAATATAATACAAACATAGTCCCCTGACTATTCTTTGACTATTTTTGAATATTCCTCCCGTAGAGGGACAGGCCCGACTCAAAGTTATCGGCGTCGGTGCTGTGCGCAAGAGCGGGGGCGGGGAGCGCGAGGCGCGGGGGGCTCTCCCCTGGGCCCCAGACCTGGCTCAGGCCGGCGCGTGCCCCAAAGAACGCCGACCCCCACACTCCCGGTGTGCGCGATGTCCAGCGCTGCGGAACGGGCCTCGAGGTAGGGGGCCACATGCGAACCCTGCCCCCACCCCCCCCCCACGACTCCTGAGGGGGAGTGAACCCCACCCTCGCCCTCAGAAGTCGTGGGGGAGGGGGGGCAGGGTTCGCCTGTGGCTCCCCAATCGAAGGGCGGTGGGTGTGGACATGCATGTGGCCCGCGGGGACGGGCGGATGTTCGAGGACGCGGGGCTCAACCTCCGCAGCGGTGGATGCGGACATGTTCCGGCCAGCGGCCCGTCCGGCCAACCCTCGGAGGGTGACCTCCGCCGGGCCCGGCGACGCGTTGGGCTCTGGGCCGGGCGCGGGGGCGCCCGTCACGCCCGCCACCGCGCCTCCGCAGAGCGGCCCGTCCAGTGGACATCGCCGGAGGCGCCCGCCTCCCTGCTCTCGGCCATCCCGCTGTGGATATCCCCGCACGCGCCCCCCTCTGGGGAAACCAACGGGTGCCGATACCGATACTCCCCATCTTCCTCCTTCTCCTCCTGCTCCTCCTCCTCCTCCTCCTCCTCCTCCTCCTCCTCCTCCTCCTCCTCTTCCTCCTCCTCCTCCTTGTCCTTTCTGTTTGCGCAGACTAGATGCAACAGCATGTTGCGTTATGATGCAAGACAGAAAAAAAAGAACGCCGACTTAGCGGTGAGGATAACAAATTAAGCATGGCTGGCGCAGCAGATCAAGGCATGCAACTAGAACAAGGAAATAACAGGGCCCTAAGGGGTACATCATATGCGCCAGCCAGCTGGTCTGGAAGGAACGAACGACCGAAAACCATAGTAGCATCCGCCGATCGAAATACTCACGATCTAAGAATGATACCGAATGAGGATACGGGTGCAGTGCAAGTGACAAGAAAAAGTATTGGCGACTCCCAGTCGGTAAAATAGCTATCAAAGTGCGAGACTGCTGTTGCCTCTTCATCTCGTCCATCCCACTCTCCACCTCCCATCCCCAATATAGAGTCAAGTTGCGTAGAGGCGAGGCTTAAAGCTCTAAAAAACAAGTGCAAGTGGTGGCAGTTCTTGGGTTGCTGTCCAGGGTTTTTCGGTTCACACCGAACCTCCATGGTCCCAGGACTCCTCCTCGTCCTCCTCCTGCTCCTTCCTCCTCCTCGGGATCCTGGATCCTAGCTGTTTTTAGCCTTGGGGCAACCCTTCATGTTTTGTTTTTTCACTGTAGTGTGGGTTCCGGTAACCTGGCCTCATCTTCTACTGGCGTCTCCTCTTCCTCCCCTCCGCCATCTTTCCCCCTCGGAGGCGCGCTGGGGGTGCAAGGCCCGTGGACGCCGAGGCCGACGCCCAGGCTGGCAGCCCGTGACCCATGGCGAGGGTGCAGGATGGGCCGAGAGGCGAGGGTGCAAGGGCACAGCTGGAAAACTGCTCGTCCTTCTGAGCCTCCTGACTGCAGGGCATAGAACCTCTGACACCCTGCGGGCATGGAAGCTACGTGTCGGGCGCCGCGGCCGCTCCGCAGCGCCCGCATGATTCCAGGAGCGTTCTGGAGCGACTGTGTACTCATCCTGGGCCTGCCTCAGATACACTCCTCCTCCTCCTCCTCCTCCTCCTCCTCCTCCGCCTCCTCCTCCTCCTCCTCCTCCTCCTCCTCCTCCTCCTCCTCCTCCTCCTCTCCTCCTCCTCCTCCTCCTCCTCCTCCTCCTCCTCCTCCTCCTCCTCCTCCTCCTCCTCCTCCTCCTCCTCCTCCTCCTCCTCCTCCTCCTCCTCCTCCTCCTCTCCTCCTCCTCCTCCTCCTCCTCCTCCTCCTCCTCCTCCTCCTCCTCCTCCTCCTCCTCCTCCTCCTCCTCCTCCTTTCCCTCCGCAGCATCCGCCGCCTCTAACTCCTCCTCCTCCTCCTCCTCCTCCTCCTCCCCCTCCTCCTCCTCCTCCTCCCTCCCTCTCCGAAAGAGGCCCCGCCTTCGAAGGACCCGCGGTGGTGCGCCCAGTTGTCGGTGTCGACGGCCGACGCCGTTGCTGGGGCGCCGGCGGCGGTGTCCCAGTCCGGAAGGTGCAAGAAGAGCACTCTCCCGCGGAAGCCGCTGGCCTCCAGGGCCGCGAGGGGCAAGGAGGGGCGAGGAAGTGGAGCGAGGAGGAGCAAGGAGGAGCAAGGAGGAGCAAGGAGGAGAAGAGCGAGGAGGAGAGGGGAAAGGAACGAGGACGAGGAGCAAGGAGGAGCAAGGAGGAGCGAGGAGCGAAGAGGAGGGGCGAGGAGCGAGGAGGGTCGAGGAGGAGGGGCGAGGATGACGAGGAGGGGCGAGGAGGAGCGAGGAGGGCTGAGGAGGGAAGAGGAGGCGCGAGGAAGAGCGAGGAGCGAGGAGGCGGAGGAGAGCCCCCTCCCACAGAAGCCGCTGACCTCCAGGCCGACGACCGACGGGCGGCGGGCGCCCCCCGGGTCTTCGACGGCATGAGGCTGTCAATCCCGACCGCCATCCTCGATTTCGGCCACCAGGGGCAGTTGAAGGACCCGGGGCCGATCAGCAATGCATCTGCCGAGGAGGAGGTGGATGAGGAGGAGGAGGAGGAGGAGGAGGAGGAGGAGGAGGAGGAGGAGGAGGAGGGGGAGGGGAAAAGGGAAGGGAGAGAAAAAGGGAGAGGGGGAGAGAAAGGGAGAAAGAGGGGGGTGGAGGGGGATGAGGGGAGGAGGAGGAGTAAAAGAAGAGGGAGGAGAGGAGGAGACGGAACAGTAGAGAGGAGGCAAACGAGGAAGATCTGATGGAAGATTCATGTAAGGCGGGATCATGGGGGCCCAGTCCTCCTTCCTTCATTCTCCGCTTCCCTGCTCTCCCTGCGCTCCTGCTCCTCCTCGCTCTCTCCTCCTCCTCCTCCTCCTCCTCCTCCTCCTCCTCCTCTCCTCCATCCTCCCCTCCTCCTCCTCCTCCTCCGCCTCCTCTTCCTCCTCATCCCTTCCTGCTTCCTCCACCTCCCTCCTCCTCCTCCTCCTCCTCCTCCTCCTCCTCCTCCTCTCCTCCTCATCCTCTCATCATCATCATCATCATCATCATCACCACAACCACCACCACCACCACCACCTCACACATCATCATCATCATCATCATCACATCATCATCATCATCATCATCATCATCATCATCATCATCATCATCATCACCACGACCATCATCATCATCATCATCATCATCATCATCATCATCATCATCATCATCATCATCATCATCATCATCATCATCATCATCATCATCATCATCATCATCATCCTAGTGCTGCTTCTCCTCCTCCTCCTCCCCTCCTCCTCCCACGAGCGGCTGGAAGCGCCGAACCTCCCCTTGCCCTCCCCTGGCAGGCGGGAGCTCACCATCATGGGCGCAGTGCATGGTGGGCGCAGCAGCAGCAGCAGCATCATCATCATCATCAGCAGCAGCATCATCAGCATCAGCATCAGCATCAGCATCAGCATCAGCATCATCATCATCATCATCATCATCTCATCATCATCATCATCATCATCATCTCATCATCATCATCATCATCATCACATCATCATCATCATCATCATCACAGCATCATCATCAGCTCATCATCATCATCATCATCATCATCATCATCAGCATCATCATCAGCATCATCATCATCATCATCATCATCATCATCATCATCATCATCTCATCACCATCACTATCGCCATCATCATCACAGCAGCATCACCACCTCCATTACCACCCCCGACGCCATCATCATCTCATCATCTCATCATCATCATCATATCAGCATCAGCATCATCATCATCATCATCATCATCATCATCATCATCATCATCATCATCATCATCATCATCATCATCATCATCATCATCATCATCATCATCATCATCATCATCATCATCATCATCATCATCGGCATCCGGCATCATCATCAGCAGCATCATC